ACCCTGCAGACTTTGAGGCTGATTTCACATCTCTAAAGGAGATCAGTAGAAATGTTGAAAGGTAATGTTGCAGGAAGAAATCAGAAAGGGATGCTGACTGTTGAAGTGCTTGCAGGAATCTTAGTACAGAAGGCATGAAACCAGAAGTGTGGTTGCTTTGTTAGACTGAAGAATTTGCTATGGCTGGCAAAGTAATACAAGTAAGCTTGCTCCTTAAAGCCATGAAATATTTTTGTAAGCTTTTATTTTTTAATGCTAAACTTGAACCAGTTTTTCTTTCTATGGTTTTTCTAAGAAGGCTATGTGGATGGTTGTAGAACTAGCACATTTATAGCATCAGAAAAAACATGCAAGTGAGAAATTACTTTTTAATAGGGAAAGTTAAAAATTTGCTTTTTTTTGTTTGGTAAAACACTATGTTTAGAAGATAAAATCTTTCTGTAAGTTCCTCATATTAGAGCTTTCTGAAGAATTTGTATGAAGCCAAGGAATTATTTTTTCTGGTATTGCAAGCAGGCAGACTTTTTTGCAGGTAGCAAAGTTAAGTCATGTATATCTGATAAAGGAGCAAGAAAAGGGAAGGAGCTGAATTTTCTCCTTCCCCACTTCCCCTTTTCACATCTTGTTTGCAGGTAAGCTTATTGACAGTTACTAAGGTCTAACTAAGGTATGTGAAAGGACTGGACATAACATTGGAAGGCACAGCATGGAAAAAGTTAGTAGTTTGGTCTAGAACCTAATTTCTCAGACCTTATAGACTCTAATCAATAGTGCTGTAAGAAATAAATTATATGTTAGATGGTGAAATATTGAAGTTGAGACTGTCTTTCTGCTTTAAAAGGCAAACTATGAATACTTCACCTGGCAAATATCCTATAATTCTTTATAATGAAAAGTTGCAGGGGTTAACTTGCTTAACCCACTGTTCTGAAAAGAAAGTATTAAATTTGATGTTCAGCTCTCTAGTAGTCCTGCAGGAATTTAATTTACAGTCCTCTGTCGTACTGTCCAGTCTTTTTACTGCTGCTTCTGTATGGCTGCTCATCCACACCTGGCCCAAAACTGTTCTCTGTACCTCCTAAATCTTAGCATCACTAGCAAGGAGCTGAGGTTAGGAAATCCTTCAGAGTTTATTAGCACGAGCCCTAGTCCGTGCTGCACAATGCCTCTTAATATTGGTATGCTTCATCAGATACCTAATTATGTAGGATGTGACCCAGACTCTTCCTATTGCAGATAGGAGCTAGCCTAAATCTTGTGAGCTAGCCTAAATCTGTTTGTGTGAAATGAATTCTCAGTGATTTGTTTACATATATAGCTATTTGGGCCATAGGCTGACTTCAGGTGCTTAGATATTTTTGTGGTTTTCCTGTTTCAGATCTGTTTTGAGGATTGGGGGGGGGGGGGGGGGGCGGCGGCGGGCTTAAATA